ACCAGTAACACACCAGTGACACCAGTGAGACCAGTAACACCAGTAACACCAGTGACACCAGTGACACACCAGTAACACACCAGTGACACCAGTGACACACCAGTAACACACCAGTGAGACCAGTAACACACCAGTGACACCAGTGAGACCAGTGACACCAGTGAGACCAGTGACACACCAGTGACACCAGTGACACCAGTGACACCAGTGACACACCAGTAACACCAGTAAGACACCAGTGAGACCAGTGACACACCAGTAACACACCAGTAACACCAGTGAGACCAGTGACACACCAGTGACATCATGGTCCCAGTAACACCAGTAACACACCAGTGAGACCAGTAACACACCAGTAACACACCAGTAACACACCGGTAACACCAGTGAGACCAGTAACACCAGTGAGACCAGTGACACCAGCGAGACCAGTAACACCAGTAACACCAGTGACACACCAGTAACACACCAGTAACACACCAGTAACACCAGTGACATCATGATCCCAGTAACACCAGTAACACCAGTAACACACCAGTGAAACCAGTAACACCAGTAACATCAGTGACATCATGATCCCAGTAACACCAGTGACACACCAGTGACACCAGTATAAAGACACTGGTGACACCAGAACAAACCTCCCCAGTGCTCCCAGTGCCACCAGTATAAGGGACACCGGTGTCCCCATTGCCACCAGTACGACCAGTGAGAGCATCCTCATTCCCCCAGTGCCACCAGTATGACCAGTAACAAGATAATTGGTGCTCCTAGTGCCACCAGTGCCACCAGTATGACCAGTGAGAGCATCACCAGCACTCCCAGTGCCACCAGTATAAGGACACCAGTGCCACCAGTGCCACCAGTATAGAGGACACTGGTGTCCCCAGCACCCCCAGTACCACCAGTAAGGGCAACCCCACCCCCCCAGTGCTCCCAGTATGACCAGTAAGGGCATCCCCATCCCCCCAGTGCTCCCAGTATGACCAGTGAGAGCATCCCCAGCGCTCCCAGTGCCACCAGTGCCACCAGTATAAGGGACACGGGTGTCCCCAGTGCCACCAGTACGACCAGTATAAGGCACACCGCTGCCCCCAGTGCCCCCAGTGCTCCCAGTATGACCAGTGAGAGCATCACCAGCGCTCCCAGTGCCACCAGTGCCACCAGTATAAAGGACACCGGTGTCCCCAGTGCCACCAGTATCAGGGACACCGGCGTCCCCAGTGCCACCAGTACAACCAGTACAACCATCCCCAGCCCTCCCAGTGCCACCAGTGTCACCAGTATAAGGGACACCGTTGCCCCCAACGCTCCCAGTACGACCAGTAAGGGCATCTCCACCACCCCAGTGCCACCAGTATGACCAGTGAGAGCATCACCAGTGCCACCAGTGCCACCAGTACGACCAGTAAGGGCACCCCCACCCCCCCAGTGCTCCCAGGATGACCAGTGAGAGCATCACCAGCGCTCCCAGTGCCACCAGTATCAGGGACACCGGCGTCCCCAGTGCCACCAG